TTGAACTTGGGGAAAGGAAGACGAACCCCGATCCGAATGTCTCTCACTCCTGAAGGAAAACCTCCGGACTATTATCAAAAAACCGGAAGAGGCGTGGGTTACGTTACGCCTCCCCCTGCCTCAGAAAGCGAAATCAGTAATTACCTATGTCGTGACTATTCATCCAGAACATCTTCATACGAGTCCGACGTCAGTGTTGGACCTTTCTTTAAAAGCCTGACTGTGAACATGGTTTCGTCAGTGTTGGACCTTTCTTTAAAAGCCTGACTGTGAACATGGTTTCAACTAGTCATCCAGACGAAGACGCAAGGGGTGATGAAGGGTTAATCGAATCAACCAATGATCCTTGGATCAAACGTCTCAATATCCTGTGGGATATGCGATTCGAATAACGCGAACCACCCACTGAAGATAAAGTGGTCCAGGTTATCATGAGAGATGAACATGACCCTAAACCCATCTTCATAGCCGAAAACCTATCATCATCCGAGAGAGAGGACCTTATATCTCTCATTCGAGAATATATAGATGTATTCGCTTGGAATTATGAAGATATGCCTGGCCTTGACCCGAAGGTGGCCACGCACCATCTCAACATCGATCCGGATGCAAAACCTGTTAAACAGCAACAACGCAGGTTTCGTCCAGAGATCATGGAATCAATTGAGTCAGAAGTTAAAAAGCGTATAGACTCGGGTTTTGTTAGGGAGGAACAACACCCTGACTGGGTGGCCAACATTGTCCCAGTGCCCAAGAAAAACGGTAAGGTCCGGATATGCATTGATTTCCGCGATCTTAACGCAGCTTGTCCAAAAGATGAGTTTCCTCTTCCTATCACTGACGTCATGATCGACAACACCTGTGGATACGAAATGATGTCTTTTATGGACGGATTCTCCGGATACAATCAGATCAAGATACACCCGGAAGACGAGAAACACACTGCTTTTAGAACACCACTGGGGGTGTATTGCTATACGGTGATGCCCTTCGGCCTGAAAAACGCAGGGGCAACTTATCAACGTGCAATGAACACGATCTTTCATGAACACCTACGAAAGAAGATCGAGTGTTACGTTGATGATATAGCAGTAAAGAGCCAATGTAAAGATGATCATCTTGCAGACCTGAAGACAATGTTCGAGATCATGCGAGCACATCAGCTGAAGATGAATCCGACAAAATCATTTCTCGGAGTTTCAAGCGGAAAATTCCTAGGATTTATCGTTACTTCCAAGGGAATCTCTCTTGATCCAAAAAAGTGCGTGCCATCCAAGACATGCCACCTCCGAAGAATCTCAAAGAGCTCAGAGGTTTGCAAGGCAGACTGGCCTACATTCGAAGATTTATATCGAATCTGTCAGGGCGCTACCAACCTTTCTCTAAACTCATGAAGAAAGGAATATCCTTTGTTTGGAATACAGAGTGTCAAAAAAGCGTTCGAGGAGATTAAAAGATATCTCACTCAACCGCCAGTTCTTGTGGCCCTAATATCAGGAAAGCCATTCCTGTTGTATGTAAGAGCCATGGACCATTCCCTTGGAGCTTTGTTGGCCCAGAACAACGATCAGGGTTAAGAGCAAGTCATCTACTACTTGAGCAGGACTATGATGGGAGCCGAACACCGGTACAATCCTGTCGAAAAAGAATGTCTCACCTTGGTATTCGCAATTCAAAAGATGCGACATTATCTAGTTGGACAAACAATTCACGTCATCTCTAAGGTGAATCCTTTGAGAGTTTTGATGACGAAACCGTCATCTCTAAATTGCCGGCTTGCAAAATGGGCCATTCTTTTGTCGCAATACGACATGCAGTTCATGCCTCAAAAGGCAGTCAAAGGTCAAGCACTGGCAGACTTCTTAGCCGATCATCCAGTGTCAGGAAAGTCTAAGTTGTATGAAGAATTACCTGACGAAGTCGCCGAAACTTGTGTTACTCAAGAAGCTACGCAAGTGTGGAAGTTATTCTTCGACAGTGCATCCAGAGCAAACCCTCATGGAGTAGTTACCGCGGGAGTAGGAGTAGTGCTAATCTCTCCGAACGACCACGTAATCCCAAGGGGATTCTCCTTAATCGAACCTTGCACCAACAATGTAGCCGAGTATAATGCTCTGCTATTAGGAATGCAATTTGCTGAAGAACTTAATGTTCAGCACCTTGAGGCTTACGGTGACTCTCAGCTCATCGTTAATCAAGTCCGAGGAGAATACGAAGTACGTCATGAGGATTTGATTCCATATTACTTCCCAGTGCTAAAGCAAGCTCAAAAGTTTGAAGGATTCTTTATCGAATATGTACCGCGAGCTCAGAATGCTTATGCAGATGCTCTAGCCTCTTTGGCAACTTCATTAGCATTGCCACCGGGAGCTGAAACAACGATTCTAGTCGCGGGACGGAAATTATGCTCTTCCAAGATCCCTATGGAGGAAAACCCAGACGAGACGATGTCGGGAGAAGTCTGTACGACATTTATGGAGTTCGAATCTAGGGATTGGTGATTCCCGTACATTATGTCGTATATGGAATTCTGCCAGATGACCCTAAGGAAGCGGCCTCTATCAAACGAAAGGCCCTCCGATTCTATTACGACGCAGTCTCTCAAGTCCTGTACTGTAAGTCACATGATGGAGTTTTGCTTCGATGCCTCTCCTGGAAGGAAGCAAAAGAGGCCCTTAAGGAAGCTCACGACGGAATGTGCGGAGCTCATCAGCCCGGAGCTAAATTAGGAGATCGCCTCCAACGAATCGGCTATTATTGGCCGAAGATGTTTTCAGACGCAGTTGACTACGCTAAACATTGTCACGCGTGCCAAATTCATGGAGATTTCATCCACCAACCACCAGGAAACTTACACCCCACATCGGCGACTTGGCCATTCGAAATATGGGGTATGGATATTATCGGACCGATTTCCCCTGCGACGTCCAAAGGACACCGGTTCATTCTAGCCGTAACCGACTATTTCTCCAAATGGGCGGAGGCAATCCCGTTGAAAGAAGTCAAGACTTCAAATGTAATCAAGTTCATCAAGCATCATGTCGTCTACCGTTTTGGAGTCCCGAGACGAATAGTTCACGACAACGGGACACAATTCGTCAGCTTTGGGTTTCGAAGATTTTGTGACAAATTTAGAATCCAAAGTGTTACATCTACGGCTTATTATCCGCCAGCAAATGGTCTTGCAGAAGCCTTCAACAAAACCATAGTGATGCTTCTCAAAAAGTTTGTTTCTAAAAGCCGGCGCGATTGGGATGAAAGACTCGGTGAATGTCTGTGGGCTTACCGCACGACGGTAAGGACTTCTACAAGAGCCACACATTTCTCTTTGGTATACGGCTGCGAGGCTGTATTGCCATTGGAAATTCAGATCCCTTCTCTGAGAGTTGCTATTACAACCGGGCTAACAGAAGAAGAAAAACATTAACGACGTCTGCAAGAACTTGAAGCCTTAGACGACAAATGACTTCAACCTCAGCAACATATCGAGTTATATCAAGTCTGTATCTCTAAAGCCTACAACAAAAAAGTTAAGGAACGAGTTTTCAAGAAGGGCGATTTAGTGTTGGCCAACAGACGACCCATGGTGATGACAAACAAAACCAAAGGGAAGTTCAATCCTAAATGGGAAGGGCCCTTCGTAATAGAATCAGTCTATTCGAATGGAGCATATCGCCTTATCAACCAAGAAGGAGATAGGCTCATGATGCTGATTAATGGGAAGTTTCTAAAGAGATACTTTCCGTGAATCATTTAGCCCCCCCGAATCCTAACTAAATCAGGCTGGGGGTTGCCTATTTATAGTGTAGTTCTATCTTGTATATCGTCATGTTAACATTAAACCTCTGACGATTGAAATTTTCTAGAATTATTCTAATTTCAATTTCATGCCTGGTTAACACTATATTTATGGCATTTGCTTTACAAAATGATATCATTTTCATTCAAAATCGTTAATCTAAACACAAAATGATGACAAACAAAGTGAAAATGATACAAAACTCCTTAGTCAAGAACAGGATGATACCTAAACATCAGGCCTTATTAACTTGAGAGATTTTAGCCTCGACTTGAAGGCAGAAAGTTTCTTCTGGTGAGCCGCTCGGACTTGTTCTTCAATCTCCTTTCTGAGTTCTGCTTCAACAGGAGCGGCAGCAACAATGTCTTTGTGAATCCGCTCAGCCGCATGGAGTGTACGGCAAAAGTCTGTATAAATTTGGCCACTTTGATGCTCAAACTCTTTTCTGACATCCTCATAGTGGGCCAATTGGGCTTTCTTCTGGTCCAACTCGGTCTCTAATCGAGCGATAGTCTCTTCGATACCGCGGATATCAGAAGCAACACCTTTGATTTTAGCATATGTTGCAGAGTGCCACTTCCTTAAAGCTGATATGCGGGCCTTTTTGTCAGACAAGTCCTTGCGAAGGGTCACTGGGTGATGTGCTCTGGAGATTATCGCCAAGGAAAGAGCCGGCTCCACTTCAGCATCTAAATTGGTGCGCTGCAGCTCCCTGAAAGTTGCTAATTCTGCCTTCAAAAGAGCGATTCCTCCCTGACAGTGCTCAGTCCATAATGCATCCCCTTTATTCTTGATATCGTCCAAGCATTGGGTCAGGATGGGTTCACAATCTTCAAAAGAAGCTCCTTCAACACTGACAATATTAACAATTGTCTGCATCCAACGTTCCAGTTCCTCAATTGATTTCTTCAGAGCCCTCGAGCGTGGAGGGGGAATGGTTGGATAGATCGGACCTGTGTGTTCATCCTGAACAGATGATGGAGCAACTTCTAAAGAAGGGCCCTTACATGCACTTTCGTCTCGCGAAAGAGAAAGAGGAGCGGATTCAGAACCCTCAATGGGTGATACCTCTCCAGCTCTAGCATCCTCAGGAATAGAAGGGGTTGATTGGGGCACGTCGTCCTCTCCATCAGTGAAACGTTCAATAGGCGCAGATTTCATCGCATCCCCCATTAACTTGGCCTTTTTAGAATTTTTTGCCATGGCAGGTATTCGCTTACGAATTCTCCTATCGTATTCGCCTTGTTCAGCAGCAGAAAGAGCCCTCTTACCCGATCTTAAAGAACGAGGTTTAGGAACATGCTCTTTTGCAGGAATCTCCTCAGTTATCTTTTATTCAGGAGAATCAGCAATTGGTCTTCCCTCTTCGATCCCCATAGGAACCTCTTCCTCAGAAGGTTCTATGGTGGACAAGTCCCTAGGAGCTTTAACAGCTCCGGTCACTTCCTGTTCGCAAGACATGTACTCTACCATCCCTGGCAGGCGAGTACTCGTAGAACCGCTCCTCGAACGATACAATTCCCGAATCTCGTTTATACATGAAGTATAAACATCATATTCCAAGATCTGAGAAACTTCAGCAAACCACTGGCGGAAATTCATAACAGTAGAGAAGCCAGGCGGTGAGTTGGGTAAGGTGAATTGCGCATGGGTTCCCCTGGCGGAGAAGAAGTACCATGCACGAGCTCCTTCATACAAATTCCCGATCTGAGCTAACGCCGGGTTAGGATTGCCAACATAGAGTTGGTCATATCCAAACTGTCTGGCGAACCGAGAAGGCATGTAAGGCTCGATTATGCACTTCTCCCGCAAGCGGTAGACTAGGTAGCCCAACCTGGTCATAAGAAGCCAGTTAAAGGTGCCTTCTTCCAGAGAAGACGAGCCCTCAAAAAGAAAGTCCATGAAACGGGCATCCTCCACGTCAGTTCCGTCAAAATTAGGAGCGCAGCAGAAAACCCGGTAATTGTCTTCCCGGGATAAAAGTTGTCGAGCCCTGACTATATAAGAACTAGTCCACGTGGCCGACTCCAATCTCTGTACGAAGGGAGTATAAGCATAATCACCCTCGTATACTCCCGTCATCAACGAAGGGCAATGCAACACGAACCAGGCCACTAAATATGTATACGGCACTGGTACACGTGGTTGAGGAGATTTCCCAGCTTTCTTCTTAGTAGCTTTGATCCCCGATGCACTGAGAAGTTCTGAAGTCAACACCCTCAGGCCGTTATGAATACAGCCAACTGTAGACGGTAAAAAATACCTCTATGGGTCTACAGGAAATTTGCCTACGAGAAGAGTTCGCACGCCCAATTCTCTGGCACGGACCTAAACCGCGTAGACGTCGACTGTACTCAAGTCCAGGTTCGCCTAACGGGCGACTCGCCAGCATGAGTCAGGGTCGATCAGGATGGCAGAAATTCGCTCTTCGCTCAACTCGTCTGCCCGAGTTCGGAGTCGAATCCACCAGCAAGCCCCAAAACCGTCAGTACAGCTGGATATCCACTACCCCACGTGCTGAGATGGACCTTCCCATCTCTCTCGATTCCCGAAGCGGAGAGAGAGCCAGAGTACCCAGGACCGTCAAACGGCCGCTCGCCCAAGTGCGCACCAGGCGCGAAGCGGACTGACAGGTGTCGAGGTCAACCTAAGCATTCATAAACTCGACTCACCTGCGCTGTCTCTGCAGCTCTTGGTAGGTGGAATCCGCGCGGAACTCAGCAAGCTGCTAACCCACTCAGTATGATGTACCTACTTCACCGCCTCTCCCTGGCCGGAAAGGAGAAAGCATGCGTGGCTCAATAGCACGCTGGGCGCATCACCACAGTACAAGTGATCGACAGACACTTTCATCGCATCTGCGAACTCAATAAATGCGGTTCATTATCTGGTTCAAATCCACTCGGATAGGCAGTCGTTTGTTGCCTCACATACTAGAATGGGCCTTTCCGCATCGCTCGGTGACAGGACAATGGAACACAATGCCCTGGAAATGACCGTTCATTGGTATCGAGGGAACGGCGAGACGTCTCTGAAGGAGCGATGTGGTCACATCCCACAATTCAAGGAGAAGTCAAGCTGTGCCTTGCTTTCATTTATAAAAACCCGCTTCTACCAGCCACGATTGGACAGAGAGGTCGCCAAAACTTGGAGAAAAAAAGATGTTCGAGAGCCAAGCTCTGTTAGCCACAATACCCCTTTTTGCCCAATTTTAACAGCACTGCTGTCCCTAGTTCGCGGGCCTCCCCCGATCGCGCCACGAAGCCAAAGCCATGACCGCGAACTCCATCTGCCCCCCGTATGCTTCTTACTCGCGAACTGAAGCTCTCCAGCAACCTCAATTCAAACGCGTCCAAGGAAGCAGACTCGGCACCGCGACCATCGAGCGAAGCGTCCTATAGTCCACCTAAAGTCCCCACAACAAAGAACAAAGAGGCGCTTCCCTCTGCGTGTCTGTTGTAAACATTTGATTTGTTAGTTTGTAATAAGCTTCTTATAAAATACAAACGGAAACTCCTTCTTCGGAAGAATCAAATTTCACCCTAACAGAAGAATGGCCGACCACAGTGGAGCAGCTGTTTCCCGACTGACGTGAAATGTGGTGGCCTCAATTTGATGAGGTACTATCGGGACACAGTAGAGTCGCCTCGAAATCCGAGTTCGCCCATGGCCCAAGTAGAAAGAATACTTGTCCCCTCCTCCTCCTCGGTCGGCAATGCGTCCCGCAACGCCAGCGAGCTGGTGCGCCGAGGC